CTGATTGCCGCTATTGCTAGTATTTAAAAAACAAAATTCCAGTATATTATTATTATTATACAGGATTTATATAGCGCCAACAGTTTGCTCAGCGCTTTACAATATAATGGGGGACAATACAGTAACAATACAGTTCAATACAAGAGGGATAGGAGGGCCTGATCCTTGGAGCTTACAATCTATATACCGCCATTTGTAGATGCTATAAGTTTCACGTAAACCAATTAATATACACATATTGAGATTTTTTTTTAACAGAAAACAAGTCATGTAGCAGAATACAGTTTGGCCTAAATTTATGAAGAAATTTTATTTTTAAAATTTTTTTTATTGGATTTTATTGTTTTTATAGCAAAAAGTCAAAAATATTGTTTTTTTTTTTTCAAAATTGTCAATCTTTATAGTGCAAAAAACACAAAGGTGATCAAATACCACCAAAAGAAAGCTCTATTTGTAGGAAAAAAAGAACATGCATTTCATTTATTTACAGCGTTGCATGACAGCGCAATTGTCAGTTAAAGTAACGCAGCACTACATTGCAAAAAATGGCCTGTTCGGGAAGGGGGGTAAATCCTCTGGAGGACAAGTGGTTAAAGCCATGACTGTGGGAGATTTCCTTTCACCTTTTGTCCCTGTGACAGGAAATGAAAGCTCTGGAGGATGCACAGCAAAGCTTACTCAGCGATTTCTCCCTCATACTCCAAACTGCAACACCCAGAATTCTGGGTCACATGTTACGCCGGAGCCCTCGCTTGAGTGACCACGCATGCGCTGTCCAGGGTGTACCGTACTGCTGGTGAGCGGGCTGTCGTGTTTACTCAGCGGGTAGGAAGAGCACTGTCCGGTCCCGGAATTGGAACTTACGGCACTTTGCAAAATTCTAGCACTTCATTCTTCCGTCCTGACACCCTGGCCTTGTCACAGGCTGCGCGCAGTGAGCGGTAACAAGGTTCCTGTGGTGGTCTCAGCGCTGAGCAGAGATTCGGGCTCCCTGTTAACCCCTTCAGTATCAGCTGGTTATGATTTTTAAGACCCTTTCCAGCTCAGGAATGGCGGGATTGCTTTGCCTGTGACTCCTATTGACACTGATGGTGGTACCCCGGTCATATTTGGGGGACATGAGTGTTCCTTAGCAGTGGTTTCCAATCATATGATTTGATGGAAGGTCCTCTAATTCTGCGCTCCCCCAAATCCCTATGTTAGCTGAAGGGTAAAACAAATCTTAAAGCCGTAGTAACATTTTACAACGTTGACCAGGGGCGGACTGACCATTTGGAAACTCGGGCACTGCCCGAGGGCCCAGGGTCAGTAGGGGGCCCCATGAGATGCCCCTGGTACCTTTTTCATAGGCTTTTTTGAGTTTGGGCAAGGACACGGGCCCCCTATTGCCTGGGGGCCCCATGAGTTGTCAGTCCGCCCCTGACGTTGACACGTGTTAGTAAAACCGTACGTACAATGGCGGACTGACCATTTGGAAACTTGGGCACTGCCCGAGGGCCCGGGGTCAGTAGGGGGCCCCCATGAGATGCCCCTGGTACCTTTTTCATAGGCTTTTTTGAGTTTGGGCAAGGACACAGGGGCCCCATGATCCCCTATTACCCGGTGGCCCCATGAGTTGTCAGTCCGTCCCTGCGTACATATCATCTCAACTACTTTGTGCATTCAGGTGAATTGTACTGCGTTTTTTTTCAGGCTTTCATTTGGTGGTATGATAATGAATATCCCCTGATTTTTTTTTTTTATAATCATAGGAAAACTGGCCCAAAATAGTAAAAAAAAAAATCATTTTTTTAAAATTTTACTGTGTTTCTTGTTACCATAACCTACCACCAAAGAAAAACCCCAAATAAATTTTCCAGCTCTTGACGATCGCAGAGATACCATATATGTGTACTCCTAGATTGTAAGCTCTAAGGAGCAGGGCCCTCGAACCCCTCGTGTATCACATTGTATTGTTATTGTTCTGTCACATGTTCTGTCCCCCTTTGTAATGTACAGCGCTGAGCAAACTATTGGCGCTTTATAAATACTGTATAATAATAATGTTATTTGTTGTTTGTACCTGTACTACAGCCCAGAAACAATAGCGCACATTTTGTTTTTTGTTTTTTTTTACCCGAAACACACTGACATTGACACCAATTAAAAAAAAAAATTCTGACCTTTGACCTTAACTCAAAACTAACCCTGGCACTGAACTAGATCAAACCTTGATCTAGGTATTTTTTCTTTATTTTTTTTTATTATATTTTTTAATATTTATCTTTTTTTTTTTTTTTACAGTTTTTATTTCTTTCTCTGCAAGGAGACATAGAGATACAATGTCTCTCTCTTCCATTCAGAGAGGAAAAAAAAAACAAGGGGGGGGCATGCTTCACAGTGACAGATCAGTGTGATAGCCAATCAGAGGCTACCACTGCGATCATGTGACCCGGAATTGGGAGTCCTGGGTCCTGATCATAAGAACGGGACCTGGGGCTCTCAGTGACACCCTGGTCTTTGTGTTCGGAGAGCGCTGTGCGGCACACTCCCAGCACAAAGACAAATAGGCAAATATCCCAACCACGGCATCACCTGCCTGGAGTTTGCATGTTCTCCCTGTGCCTGCGTGGGTTTCCTCCCACACTCCAAATACATGCTGGTAGGTTAATTGGTTCCTGTCTAAATTGGCCCTAGTATGTGTATGTATGAATGTGAGTTAGGGACCTTAGATTGTATGTCCCTTGAGGGTTAGGGACTGATGTGAATGTACAATATATATGTAAAGCTCTGTGTAAATTGACGGCGCTATATAAGTACCTGAAATGAATAAATAAATAAATATGTGACCCCCACAGAAAAAAGCCCAGCTCTATGAGGCAGACTATTTGTGTGACATTGGCGTGAAGGAGTTAAAATATTCAGTGAAGCAGTAACTGAAGTGTCCTGAAGCCGAAATGTAAGATTATTTTTCGTTTTCCTTCTGTCGCAATAGGCCGCATGGTAAAACCGTTTACAGTGCAGGCGAGCGCAGTGTCGTCTTCGGCAGGGAGGGATGCGATATGCGTTGCAGTACATTGCGCTCTTCGATTTTTCTTTCTCAACAATGTGTTGTGGAAGAATACAGACATGCTGCGGTTTTCTGCACTGTGACATGCTGAATACACCGGCATTATGGTGTGGTCGGGGGCACAAAACCGTTGTATTTTATGTGTCCTAGCGCTGACCTGCATTTATCCAGTGCGGAAAATCTCAGGTGTCAATGATCCGTTTGGCCCCTTACACACGGGGTGGACACTTGAGATCAGCAGGGAATCTGTTGTCCAATCCCCTGCTGATCAGAGCAAAACAAGCCGATGACACATCCATGTCCGCTCAATTTATGCAGAGTGGACACAGACAGAGCCTGCTCTGCTCTATGGGCAGCTGGGTGTAAATGGACTCCATTGTTTACACCTGACTGCCCTCCAATGCGATCCACCTAGATCAGGGGTGGGCAACTGCGGCCCTCCTGCTGTTGCAAAACTACAAGTCCCATCATGCCTCTGCCTCTTGGAGTAACTGTCAGTCTTCCCATCAGCCTTTGCCTCTGGGAGTCATGCTTGTAACTGTCATCTTCCAATGCTTTGTGGGACATGTAGTTCCACAACAGCCAGTGGGCCACAGTTGCCCACCCCTGACCTAGCTGGATGGGGACAGATCCCCTTACGTTTTTTTTTTTTTTTTTTTTTTTTTTTTTTTTAGATTGGATTGGATCCAGAGGTAGGCGGGGGGGGTGTGGACCATTTACACTCACCGGTCCATAGGAGCGAAAAGACCGCCCAATCAGGTCCACCTGAAAAACCGACAGGCTGACCTAATCAGACCCTGTGGGGTTATTTACTAAAGCCTGGTTCACACCAGTGCATTGTGCTTTTTGTCTGTTTTTTGCATGCATCTTGCTTTTTTTTTTTCAAGGGAAATATCTTTTTGACCTGTGCAGAGTAAGATCGTGGCAAAAAGGCACTACATGTGTTTCAGCATCTTCTCCACTGAACTCTATTGTAGCAAAAACGCTACTTTTTGCATTAAAAAAAAGTCCCTGACCCTTTCCAAAAATGCAGCAGCTCAAAAAAGCATAGATGTGAACATGTCCCATAGGAAACCATGTTAAATTGACTGTAGTGTATTTCTGCAAAAAGCACTAAAAAAACGCATTGGTGTGAACCAGGCCTAACACTGGAGAGTGCAAAATCTTGTTCAACTGTGCTTAGAAACCAGTTAGCTTCCAGGTTTTATTTATCAAAGCCTAATTAAACAAGCTGAAGTTAACCTAAGTTCACACCTAAGTGTTTTCTGCAACGTTTTGCATAAACTCAGTACAGTCCATTTAACATGATTTCCTATGGGACATGTTCACACCTGTGCATTTTCACCTGGTGCGTTTGTTGGAATGGGTCAGGACTTTTTTTAATGCAAAAAGTTGTGTTTTTGGTTCTATAGACTTCAATGGAAATGCTGCAAAAAAGCATGTATTGCATTTTTGCAGTGTTTTAAATCTGCCTAGCAACAAGAAAAATGAAAAACAACCCCCAAAACGCAATGCAAAATGCAGTGCAGAAATGGCTCAAACGCAGCCTGCATAGGTGTGAACCTAGCCGTAAAAGTTGATTGGCTGCCATGCACAGCTGCACCAGATTCTGAGTGCTTCAGTTTTATTAAATCTCCCCTTGTGTGTGAAAGGGTCCTTATAGTAAATTCTGCTATTCAGTTGGCCTTTTTACAAAAAAAAAATAAAAAGTTTTGACAAGTGGTCATTTTTAAAACAAAACCAGTTACTAGTAAATACCAACTTTTGATTTTTTTTTTTTACCTTTATTACTACATTAACATTATTTTTTTACAGATACCGTATTTTCCGCTCCATAAGACGCACTTTTTTTCCCCCAAAAAAAGGGGGGGAAATGTCAGTGCGGATTATGGAGCGAATGTAAAGTGGCCGGTCCGGTATTTCTGCCGCCACCATGTCAGAATATTGGGCCGGCCGCTTATCTCTTCTCTCCTGCAGGACCCTACCTGTTCCTCGCTTGAGCGCTGCAGTCTTCCCGCGGCGGCTTCTGTGACAGCCGGGTGCCCACTGCGCATGCGCGAGAAGCACCGCGCTTTGTGAATGGTTCGGTGTCTTCTGGGACACATGGCAGGTCCCAGAAGGCTCCGGGCCATTCACAAAGCGCAGTCTCTGGCCATCCCCTGCACTGTGTCCGCAGTCTCTGGCCATCCCCTGCACTGTGTCCGCAGTCTCTGGCCATCCCCTGCACTGTGTCCGCAGTCTCTGGCCATCCCCTGCACTGTGTCCGCAGTCTCTGGCCATCCCCTGCACTGTGTCCGCAGTCTCTGGCCATCCCCTGCACTGTGTCCGCAGTCTCTGGCCATCCCCTGCACTGTGTCCGCAGTCTCTGGCCATCCCCTGCACTGTGTCCGCAGTCTCTGGCCATCCCCTGCACTGTGTCCGCAGTCTCTGGCCATCCCCTGCACTGTGTCCGCAGTCTCTGGCCATCCCCTGCACTGTGTCCGCAGTCTCTGGCCATCCCCTGCACTGTGTCCGCAGTCTCTGGCCATCCCCTGCACCGCGTCTTATGGTCAGGTGCATCTTATGGAGCGAAAAATACGGTATATAGTGCTGCCAATTTACACAAAGCTTTACATACAGAGGGGAAAATAATTATTTGATCCCCTGCAGATTTTGTAAGTTTGCACACTTACAAAGAAATAAAGGGTCTATACTTTTTATCATAGGTGTATTTTAAATGATAGAGACAAAATATCTACCTAAAATCCAGAAAAACACGAAACAAATGTTATAAATTGAGTTGCAGTTCAGTGAGTAACATTAGTATTTGATCCCCAAGCAAAACATGACTTAGTACTTGGTAGAGAAACCCTTGTTGGTAAGCACAGCGGTAAGCAGTTTTTTACCAGGTTTGCACACATTTCAGGAGGGATTTTTCTCCACTCTTTACAGAGCTTCTCTAAATCCTTAAGATTTGATGGTTGTTGCTTGGCAACTTGAAATTTCAGCTCCCTCCATACACTTTCTATAGGATTGAGGTCTGGAGACTGGCTAGGCCACTCCATGGCCTTAATGTACTCCTTCTTGAGCCACTCCTTTGTTGCCTTGGCAGTATTTTTTGGGTCATTGTCATCCTGCAAGACCCATCCACAATCCATCAGTGTTCTGGCTGAGGGAAGAAGGTTCTCATCAAGATTTTACAATACATTGCCCCATCTATTGGCCCCTCAATAAGGCAAAGTTGGTCTGTACCTTTAGCAGAGAAGCAGCCCCAAAGCAGAATGTTTCCACCTCCATGCTTCACTGTAGGGATTATATTCTTAGGGTCATAGTCAGCATTGTTCTACCTCCAAACACAGTAAGTGCCAAAAAGCCCCATTTTTTTTTTTGTCTCATTTGACCACAGCACTTTCTCCCAGTCCTTCTCTGAATCATTTAGATGTTCATTGGCAAACTTTAGACAGGCTTGTACATGTGCCTTATTGAGGAGGGGGACCTTGCGAGCACTGCAGGATTTCAGTCCATGGCAGCGTATTGTGTTACCAATGTTTTTTTGGTGACTGGTGCCAACTGCCTTGAGATCATTCACAAGCTCCTCCTGTGTAGTTCTAGGCCGATCCCTCACTTTTTTCATGATCACCCTTACCCAGTGCGGCAAAATCTTGCATGGAGCTCCAGACCGATATCGAATGATGGTTCTTTTGTATTTCTTCCATTTGCGAATAATTACTCCAACAGTTGTCTCCGTCTCACCAAGCTTCTTGCTGATGGTCTTGTAGCCCATTCCAGCCTTGTGCAGGTCTACAGTCTTCTCCGTGACGTCCTTTGACAGCTCTTTGGTCTTGCCCATGAATGACGGTCAGGTTTGAATGAAAGAAGGAGATTCCGTGGACAGGTATCTTTTATACACATAACGAGTTGTTGTTAGGAGCACCTTCTTAAATTGACAGGACTAATCTGTGTAGTACATGAGCACATAGCCAGTCTGTGGGAGCCAGAATTATTGTTGGTTGGTAGGGAGCAAATACTTACTTTACTCACTGAACTGCAATTCAGTTTATAACATTTTTCTTTTTTGGATTTGTTGTTGATACACTGTCTCTATCGTTTAAAATACACCTATGATAATAATTATAGACCCTTAATTTCTTTGTAAGTGGGCATACGTACGAAATTTGCAGGTGATCAAATAATAATTTTCTCTACTGTAGACATGTGTCTAGAAATATTACAAATCATGAATGGTACAGGGAAATCTCTTGAGGATATGCTCTCAAATTTCAGGGATGAATTTTCCTGCCTTGCATTGGAAGCCTACCAATGCGGGGTCATCAGTAAGGACACATATGACTGACTCCCCTGTGGAACTTCATGCAAGTGCTGAGATGGTCAGGTTGGTAGGGGATCAAATACTTATTTTACCCACTGAACTGCAACTCTTTTTATAACAGTTGTATCATATGTTTTTTTCTGGAATTTTGGTTGATATTCTGTCTCTATCATTTAAAACACACCTATGATAAAAATTATAGACCCTTCATTTCTTTGTAAGTGGGAAAACTTACAAAATCTGCAGGGGATCAAATAATTAATTTCCCCAGTGGATATATTGAACATTCACATCAGCCCCTGCCCTCAAGAAGATTACAATCTACAGTCTTTAACTCGCATTCATACACACTACCTTTTACCTACCGGCATGTCTTGTGTGGGAAAAAAACAGAGGAATTTCATACAGGCACAGGGCAGGGAGAACATGCAAACACTAGGCAGGTAGTGCTATGGTTAGGATTTGAATTGACGATGCTAATGCTGCTAGGCAGAAGTGCTAACCACTTAGCCACTGTGCTGACCCAAAAATATCTAAATCCAATATCAAAAATTGAATGTTTTCTAGTGTACCTTTCCTTAGATGTGAAGGCTGCATTAGTTATGCTTTTTACACTTTTTATTTTCACCTTGATCTTGCCAGTAACACATTTCCAGTCAAGTGACAACTTGCAGCATTTAGGAGCTTAGGAGAAGCAGCGTTATCACTCTAGGAAGGGAGAGTGTTAAGACTATATAACACCTCCCTCTCTTCTCCATAACAGGAGAAGGGGTTTTTCAGTCCACAACGGGGAGGTGTTTTTGTAGTCCGTGAAGAGAGCAGGGAATAATGCGAAATGATAACAGTCCAGAGACAGAGAGTACATTTTGTAAGATTTCTGGCTGGATGAACAGCTATTCCTATTTTTGCGCTTGTCGGCATGCATGTTAACCCTTTGAGGACCGTAAGATATTGGAACGCCAAAAGAATCAATATTTTTGTTTTTAAAGTTTGTACACTTCAGTTGCTGTAACTAAGCCATTTCATGAAATAATTGGCAAAAAGCTAGATCCATTTGTTGTTTGTTGATAAGAGCTAATATTTTGACTCAAACCAAAAAAAAAAAAGAGTTTTAAGTTCTTAATCAGATGATACACGCAATTAAAAACATGGGACAAATACGTCCCTTGGTCCTCAAAGGGTTAACAGATACATGGGGATGTTCTCAACACGTACAAGGAGTGACCATAGCCTCACAGTTACTGTTCTAGTTTACATACACTTTAAAATCCAGCCCACATGTTTTATTCTTATTGTGGATAGACTGGTAAAGGGTTAGACCCCCCCCCCCCCCCCCATCAGTTTTCTTCATCGTTTTCTGCCAATAGTCAGAAAGTGAGACCAATAAGATTTGAAAATTACAGTCACGTGCCTGAAATAAAAAATCTTATCCTAATATTTTACAATTGTCACCAGAAGATCAGGTTGAAGGAAATCTTCCAATGGGGACACTTGTTCATGTGACTGCTGTCAAACGTGGGATTTATATTCACTTTGGGTGATTTCCTTTCATATTCTGTAATGTCTTTGTGATAGTTAAGGAAGGGGAAAAATACCCAGTGGAATCGGATATCATATCCCTTTAGGAGTAAACAATTCCACTGTTTATAATAAGAACCATCAAGAAATTGCTTCATTTCTTACCTTAGATTGTACGCCCCTTGAGGGTTAGGCACTGATGTGAATGTACAATATATATGTAAAGTGCTGCGTAAATGGACGGCGCTATATAAGTATCTGAAATAAATTTCTTCCTGAATTTAAATCTGAACTTCTGGCACAAACCCTTTCATTTAAATATGCTCTCATTAACCACAAAAGATATAAATCCACTTTATGTACACCAATTGCCTTTAAACTCAGATATTACCTTGTAAATGTAGCAGTGAAATCAGCACTGAGCTGTACGTAGCCTGTGCAGAGAGCAGAGCCTGCATAAAACTGCAGGAGGGGCGGATACATAACCAGTCACCCTGCACAATGAGGGTGCAGCACTTAGTGGTCATTATTACAGGAAGCTCCTACCCAGAAGAACACTTCCATGCTGGATAACTACACAGATCTGGAAGAAATACACAAAGCATGCCAATATTCACATGAGAATACACAGGAGTCTTGTATTAAGGCAAAATGTGGTTACCCTGGAGTGCAGCTTTAATTTGGTCAGACACTTTCCTTTGTAACGCTCACATTTTCCTTGGAGTTGACATGAAACTAGTACATAAATGCAATGCATCTGCTAAGTTAGTATTTGTTTATATCACAAATACTATTTTTCTTTGCATGTTTTGTTTTAACTCATTCTATAATCTACATGCTTATGTGAGTGGGTCAGTTATTAATGCAATAGGGCAAGGCCAGGGGCGGACTGACCATTTGGAAACTCGGGCACTGCCCGAGGTCAGTAGGGGGCCCCATGAGATGCCCCTGGTACCTTTTTCATAGGCTTTTTTGAGTTTGGGCAAGGACACAGGGGCCCCATGATCCCCTATTGCCTGGGGGCCCCATGAGTTGTCAGTCCGCCCCTGGGCAAGGCTAATGATTTGTATGATCCTAAAGGTATGCATCCATATAGTCAAGATCCACCTAGATGCCTGGACCGGCAGCTAGCTCAGCCTCTTAGTGAGCTGCTGGGATACTGAACCAGCTGCTTCCTTCTCCACCACAGCCTAGCGCTTCAGTGACTGTTGGAGGGACAGAGCAGAGAGCTGGTGACTGACACTACCAGCTCTCTGCAGCCTAAAGACCAAGAGTTGAGTGATCAGCGGTGTTTGATCGCTTAGTTCTCGATCTTGGAGGCAGTGGGGGACAACAGAAGCATTGGACTGATGCTGCATCCACCTAGATGAGTATAATTATTTTTTTTTATCAATTAAACCCATACTTTTTCTTTCAAAATGTGATTTTTTATTATGCATTTCCTAAACCCGGAATGATATTAAAGACTTTTTTTTTTAAATAACAAACATACCTGCTCTGTGCAGTGGTTTTGCACAGAGCAGCCCCAATCCTGCTCTTCTTGGGTCCCCCACTGGCGCTTCAGGCCCCTCCCTCCTTCCTATTGCCCCCATAGCAAGCAGCTTGCTCGGGGGGCA